ATCACCTCATACTGGTAAGAATGGCTATCATCAAAAAGAACACAAATAACAAATATCGGCAAGAATGTGGAGAAAAGGGAATCCTCTTACACTGTTGGCGGGAATGTAAACTGATACAGCCATTGTGGAAAACAATATGGAGTTTTCTCAAAAAAAAAGAAGAACAAAACAAAACAAAACAACAACAACAACATAGAACTACCAGTTGACCCAGCAGTTCCACTCCTGGGTTTATGTCCAAAATAAACAAAAACACTAATTTGAAAATATACATGTACCCCAATGCCCCAGTGTTCATAGCATTATTTACAGTTGCCAAGATATGGAAGCAACTTGTGTCCATCAACAGATGAATGGATAAAGATGTGAAAGAAGAGACACACACACACACACACACACACACACACACACACACAACCATGGAATATTACCTAGCCATTAAAAAGAATGAAATTTTGCTATTTGCAACAACATGAATGCACTTGGAGGTTATGATGCTTAGTGAAATAAGGTCAGACAGAGAAAGACAAATACTATATGATATCACTTTTATGTAGAATCTAAAAAAAATAAAACTAGTGAATTTTTTAAAAGTACATGGACTTAACTTATAAGAAAGAACTCCATGATAGCGTATCCCCTCAAAAATCCTGGAGAAATGTGGCAATGTGGAATCTACATATTTTTTGAGATTTTTAAGAGTGTGAATAAACACCTAAATCAGTGGCTCTTAACTGGAACAGTACCACTGCAGAGCGGGTCTTTTGGAAAATTTGAGTTCACCTTTTGATTGTCACAATGTTTTGGAGGTACCACAGTCATGTGGTGAGTGGGTGGGAGCCAGAGGAGATAGATGTTTGCCAACATCTGGGACAGCTCTGCACAACCAAGAGTTGCCCCACTCCCTGTCTAACTCTCCCGTGCCCCACTCCTGTGGGTGACAACTTGCTTTTAAATATTTGAATTTGGAACTTCTGTTTTAAAATTGCTCATTTTAATTTTTGCATTATTTTAATAACTACCAAGGGAATTTGAGGAAAGATCGTACTCTTTTTGGTTAGAATTTACTAAAATTTGTTCACGTAGGAAAACTTGCATCATCGACAACACCACTTGTCTCCTACACACTGCGCTTCAGTCCTCTCGCAGTTATAACCATTACATTCAGGGATCCTGTCTGTAGGTGCAGGCACTTGACTCTTTCATTATGTCTTCTGGTTTGTCACGTATGAGCATTTGCATATTGATATGGATGCTCTTTCATTATAAATTCTTATTTCTCATTTACATCATAGTTAGTACCCCTTATGTTTTTTTTTTAAAGATAAAGTGTGTATGCGGGGGGTGAGTTATGTGTGGATATTATTTCAAGATTATAAAAAGAACACTGTCAAATATTTTTATAAAAAGGATGTGTTGGATATGAAGGGTTTGAGAAGGACTGACATACAAACCCGTGTTGCTATGGCACTATTAATCACCTTATTTGAGAAACCCTTGATCTTTGTGGGAAAGTAGTCTAGAACATCTTCTAAGAGAAACATAACGTGAGTCACAAGTATAATGTTAAATTCCCTTGTAGCCACATTTAAGGGAGTAAAAAGATACAGATAAAATTAGTTATAATAATATACCTTATTAAATTAAATAACCAAATATTATTTCAAATGTAATCAATATAAACATTATTAATGAGGTATTTACATTCTTTTTTTCTGTTGTTCATACTGTCTTTAAAACCTGGCATGTATTTTGCAGCAAGTCTGTCTCAGTTCAGATAAGCCACATTTAAGTGCTCTGTAGCCATGTGTAGCTAGTGGCTACCATATTGGGCAGCACAGTTCTAGAAGTTCCATGAACAGAGAAATTCCAAGAAAGGGAGTAGAATGTGAAAAGTCCTTAACTTTGCTTCCTTTACTAAAGAGAAGCCCTTTACTAGCAGACAAAAATGACTGCTACTGCATACCTCCTTTCCTCTTTATTCCCCCTGCTGTATTCCTCCAGTGGAGCTGTGGAGAGATGGGGACTTAGTGGAGGAGATAAAGAAAACTAGATACCCTTGACCGAGATGACTTGGTTGAACTGGCCCTTGCAGCTTTCAGCTCAAAGACTTGATGTTCCAGCTCAGACACAGACCATCTGCAGCAAAACTTCTGTGCCAGGGGCAATGTGGGGAGGTGTAGCAGCAGCAGCTTCGTAAACAGCCACCTGCCACAATTCCAAACTACGAAATCCAGAAGGAGCACTTTTCCCTTGACACTTCCATCTTCCTCCTCCTCTCCTTTATCGCTGGGCATCAGATCCCCGTCGACTCTCCTTCACCTGCCAAGTAGAAAGTTCTTCTTTTCAAATGGCAAAGATTTCAAAATTGCCCGTGTCATCGCCTTTCCTACCATATGTGTCTAACATACTGCTGCTCCTCATTTAGGTGATATCCTTGTTGTTTCCTGCTGTTAACAAGCTCATTCCTAATCCTTTAGTAAGCAGCATTTACAGTGACAATAGTCTAGTGTTGAAAGCACAGGCCCTGGAGAGCAACCCATGTAAGTTCAAACCCTGTTGTATGCCACTTAAAAGCTGGATAATCTTGAGGAGCAAATAAAACCCCAAGCTGCAAATAAAATCCGAGATGAAAATAACATCTACTTCCTAGCATTACTGTGAGCCTCCATCATGGAGTTATTGTGAGACTCAAGTGAGAAATGGATGCCATATTTAGCATAGTACTTGACACATGTGAGCAATGAGTAGATTAATGCTCTTCTTATTACTCTGTTTCCTCAACCTGTAATTCCTCCCCTACTCCTGGTCACCTTCCCTATTCCTTCTCAAATCCTAGTCATCTTCCAGTCTTTCCCAGGTCCCATCTCTTCTCCAAGCCTTCTATAAATTTTATTCTTTCCTTTTCATGTGTTCCTTGAGAACTTGGACATAAATTATTCTGGTACTGACTTCTAGTACCGGATACATAGTGGTCACTTAGTGAATTCTTTAATTGATTCATTGATGATGAAAAAGGGAAATTAAACGACAGCAGATGCTGCTCATACTCCTCCCCGCACCTGCTCAGTCCCTCCAAGTTTGCTTGCAGCAGTGGCGGGTGGTTGCACCACAACCACCGATACGGGCATGTGGGCACATGTTCTACATGGTTCCTCAGAAGGTCCCCAGCAGCAGGGAGTCACGTCTTCCCACAACAGGATCCCACTTGTCAGTGTGCATTTTTATTGGCTTCCTGGCCTCATTCTCTTCACTCCCACTTAAGCTTCTTGGAATCACTTCCCAAATTAACCACCTGCATCAAAGTCCTTGTCTCAGTGTGGGTTTCCGTGAAACCCAAGTAAGACAGGAACTAACATCAGAGTCTGTCTTGCATGCAAGCACCACCTTAGGCATCCCACGTTCATTGTCTTCTTTCATATTCGCAACAGTCTTTGGGGCTGGGTATTATTATACTTTTTTTTTTTTGGAAAAAATTAGAAAGCCAAGACTAAAACATTTAAGTGACTTGTTCAGGATTGTAAAAATATTAAGTAGCAAACCTAGCAATCCAAATGTTTCTTTAGGTGCCCATGTTGAATTAATAATTGTATAGAAAAGGAATAAAACATTTCGGGATAAAGTTAAAAGAAACATATTGCAGAATATAGACTCAGGGAAAATTAGATCTCTTAGGGTATTTGACAAACTAAGATATAAAATCAGAATTTAATAAAATAGTGTCTGGAGACATTGTACATTGAACACTCAGATGTCATTTAAATGCCTTATTTATAGTCCACTTTATTCTGGGAACTAAAGACGGGAGGATTTGCCAGCAGAGAGCTGCCTGAGTGAGTCAGATTTTATAAGAAGGTATTAGCAGATGAAACTGATTTAGCCTCTATGACATTGGAGAAAGAAAGAGACAAAGGAAACTTTTCAGGGTACTTAGATACCAAAAGGAAAGGCTTGGATGGACGAGAAAAATTATTGAGAAAAATTTCTTTTCCGTATTAAAATTCTCATTCAGAATTGATTTATTTTTATCTTCCCAAGTCACACAGGCCGTGTACATAAGAGTGATTGAATTGTAACAGGAACTGTCAAATCCATTAAATGTGGGTAAGGAGATAGCTGGGCAAATGTTAAAGGCAGCAAAGGACAGAGAGATAAGTTTTCCATATGCAGAGGCAAGCATTAGGTGACCAACGCATTTCCCAGATTTTAGGAACTGCATTAATCAAATTAGAGAAATTAGAAACCTTCAGCTAGAATTAGGGAGCACTGCCCAATTTAGCTAATGCATGTTACTTTGTGTGATTTTCTAGTCCAGCTGGCGGGTTTATAATTCTGAGAAAATAAGGATGAGGTAGAGCCCACCCTGCGTTTGCAGAGAAAACAGAATCAAATCTTCAATTTCATGAAGTTTGAAAACACTTGATATTTACAGGCAGCTTTAAGAGTATCAGACAAAGTGTACAGTAGATTTTTATTATGTGTTGCCTTTGAAGTTGCCACTGTTTGCCTTTATAATGTCACATGGAATCATAAAGAACTAGTCAATTTGAATTCGGTATCATAGTTTCATTCCTTTGAATTTTAATGGTCTTGACTTCTGTATAACTCAAAAGAATTACCTCATAATATTTACTGTACATTTATTAGCTCTGCTCTGAAGTCATTTAGTTTTGAGCCCTAGAAAAAGTGACTTCTTGCCAACCAGGCATTTGTAGTGTGCCCTCTAATCCACATTTTAATAAATGTCATTTTCTAAGTGCATTACCTCATGTTTTGGCTACCACCCAGATGAACCCTGAGAGAATAAGAAATGTGCTTTCTGACTGATTCATCCATATTTTATTTTACTTTTCATTAAGAAATTACTCTTTGAAGGAAATCAATAATCTTTTGTGACCGAGGGGAGAGGTTAGTGTGTTGCAGTGCTGCATTTTAATTTCTCAAATCCAGACTGCCTTTAGCCAGCTGTTGCTAATTTTTGTCTTTTTTTGTTCCTGCAGCCTGGGTCAATGGTGACCCCAGGAGAGTGGCCTATCCTACAGACAGCCAGGGCCAATTTTGTGGCCAAAAGGGCACCTCTAATGAGTGAGTATGGCTACTTTGCTTTGCTTTGATTTTACTGTCTAAGCTGAAACCTAGAAATCACTTTTGCATTAATCCTACCAGACTTCATAAGATTGAAATTCATAAAAAAGGACTTGCCTCCCCCTTTTCCTGGAGACAGTTTATAAGCAGTTGGGAGGTTTCATACCATACAATTTATGACAAGATGTCATTGTTACGCAGCACTTTATTGGCATGCATAAAGACTCTGCTTAGTGAAAATATCATTCTAATGGATACACTGGACCAGTGATTTCATCAGAAGCTGTATTTTAAAATGCCTCATGACATGGGCTATTGGAAGCCTGAGTTCTGAGTAGCTGCTAGAAAGCTAAACAGTGCAGTTGTTAGAATTGTTTTTGCCATAGTATCTACTTACAAATTACTCCACCTTTCAAAGTGAAGGGCACACCTAGGAAGTCTTCAGTGAGAGGCAGGAGGACTTTTCAAGGCAACTAGCCTGCTGCTGACAATGACCCTGAGTAGCTGAAACAAACAAGGGAGAATGTTCCATCAAACTCCTTTCTGATGTTAATCATAACAGAAATTTTCATTTCTGAAAGCAAGTTTTCTATTTCTTTGTCATTAACAAGACAAAAACATAAATCTCGTATTTTTAGAAAAATTTTCTCTCCTTTCTCATTGGTCCATTTATTCTCTGGTAGTACCTGAATTTTTACTAGATCTCTGGTTCTTCATAACCAGTTCAGTTTCTATAAAAATTGGTATTGAAAGGGTTAAAAAAAACAAACAAAAACCCCAAAGCAACAACAGCTCTCTTTATCTCTAAAACAGCAAAAAACAAGGCTCAGAATATTTCTATTGTCTCCCCAAGTTGCCAACCCTTAACTGTAGAGCTTATTATTCCAAGAGATCAACAGATTTTTAAAAAATCGATTTTAAAAAGAGTTAACAAAATTCACAAAATAGAATTATCAGACAGTCAAGATGAACCAGAAATCTGGGTGGAGGGTGGGGGTGTTGGGCAGAGGCAGATCCTTAATCATACCAGGTTGAGTTTATGGTTGATAAGTTGACTCCTACAGAAGGTCTTTGTTGCCTATTAGAGACAACTAGACTAGGTCCTGGTCTAGAGTGGTGATTCTTAACCTCAGTAACTCAAAAAATCCCAGATGTTGCCAACAGAACCTTCACACGATGAAGGACAAAGAAAGCAGCAGGTGTAACAAGATCATACAGATCTCTAAATCTCTAGTCCTTTAAAAGAGGCTATTTTTAAAAAGGCCTCTGTAACAGTGTTTCCCAGACCTAAGCCAGTGTCCCACTTATTTCCAACAAAAATGGGATACCACAAATTTCAGTACTTAAAGATCATTCAGAGACAATCCTGGTGTAACACAGACATGTTCATAAAAGTATTATTTATCATAATATATTGAAACTATAGAGCTATCTACAATATGTGGATGATAGTAAAATATGGCCAATTGCCAATTTATTTAATGAAATATAACAGAGCCATTAAAAATCTATGTTTATATTTTTAAGAGCTGATTATGTTAATTTTCCTTTATAGTTTCTGGATTTTGTGTCATGATTATGATTGCCTTCCTCCCCCTGAAAATAACATTTACCTGTATTCCTCAGTATGTCTGTTATTGCCTTTTTTATATTTAAATTTCCAGTGCACTTGGAATTTATTTTTGCATTATTGAATAAAGTAGGAATCAAACTTTCTTTTTTTCACAACTGCAGAGCCAATGATCTCAGAACAGTTTGTTGAAAAATACGCTCTTTTTCCTCCCTGATTTCTGATACCACAATTATCATATAGTAAATTTATATATTGATTTCTGAACCACCTATGTTATTCCAATATATATATATTTTAAGCCTCTCAGTTGTTTTCTCATAAAGATGTGTATTAATTTGAAAACTTTAAAGAAAATGTACGTTAAATGACTCTTAGAGTTTTTAATAGTAAGTGAAAATATCAGATTTCAATGATTAAAACAGTGTGGGACTATCAGTGTAGAACTAGGCAGAAAGAATACAATTACAGATATACATTCTGAATATAATAAAGATGGGATTTCAAGTAAATAGAGAAAAATGGGTTATTAAATAAGTGTTGTTGAATCGACTAAAATGTTATTTATATTCTTGAATATAAAATAACATTGGATATTTATCTCATACCTTACACCAAAATGAGTACTGAAACATTGAAGATTTTGTGTGTAAAATATACAACCAAAAAAGTAACAAGAAAATGCAGGGGTATATTTATGAAGTAATGGGGTAAAGAAGCTTTTTCTAAACATGACACCAAAGCCAGAAAATGTAACAGAAATTTTAAAGTATATCATCACACAGAGTAAACCCACTGTAACCCACTGCATACAAAGTTAAAAGATAAATGGCAATTCAGGAAGAAATTTTTTTCAACATATATACCTGAAAACAGGTCAGTAACTTTATTGTATGAACTGGTTTTACAAAATCAAGAAGAAAAAGATGATCATTCAATTGATTCAATGTAGAAGTTGGCAAAAGTAATAAATAGGAAATAATAAATGGCCAGTAATAATAGAAAGTATTATTCAACCACAGTTAAAAAAACAAATGCAGAATAAAGAGGTATTACTTTAGCTTATTAGGTTGTCAAGTAAATATAAAATATTAAAATTTCCAAGGTTGAGCAGAGTGAGGGGGGAGAAAAGCATCTTCTTTTCTACTGGGGGCAGTGCAATATGATATTTATCACATTTTATCAAATATTTGTCAAATTTATATATTCTTTTTGCTTCAGCAGTTTTCTCCTAGAAACTTACCTAACGGAAATTTGCATACTCTTTTCTAATATTATAGGTACTATGAAATAGTAATAATAAAATGGAAACAGCCTAAATGTCTATCAATAAGAGATTGATTAAGTGAGTTATTGTATAGTCATACAATAAAATACTATTTAATCATTAAAAATGATTGAATAGAGATATATTTATTGGCATGGAAATATGTTCATGATATATTGTTAATTCAAGAAGTCAAGTTACTAAAACACAATGTGTAATAAATTCTGCCTTGTGATATATGTGAATATCACATAAATAAAAACATCTAAATATGCAGGGATATACACATGCTTACAGTAATTATTTCTGGGTAGTGGGATTATATTTTTATTTATGGATTTCTTGAGCTACTACTATGTCCCAGAAAGTGTTCTAAAGGCTGAGGCTATACTGCAATCAAATAGACAAGCTACCTGAACTCATAAAGCTTACTTTCAATTAGAGGGCAATTGTAGTAAAGAAGTAAGCAAACAAGATAATTTCAAATTGTGATAAATGCTGTAAAGAAAAAACCAAAACAGGTGGCCCCCTATAGAATGACTGCTATGCAATGAGCTGCCTCATGGTTGCACGGGGCAGGTTAGGACTTTCACGAGGAGGTGACTTTTAAATTGAAATATGAAGACTGGGAAGAAACTAACCTTTTAAACCCTGGTAGGAGCTTTAAAGCCAGAGACAAGGGCAAAGGTCCTGAGGTAGGAATGAGCCTATGATACTGCAGGAACAGAAGGAAGCCTGGGAGGCTGAAATGTGGCAAACAAGGAGGGCAGAGGAATGAGCAGATGTCTGAGAAGCAGGTAAGAGTCAGATTTTGTGCTCCTATGTGCCCTTTAAAGTATTTGGATGATTTGTAAGTGCAGGAAGGACATAGAAAGGTATTCAGCAGGAGAATGATATAATCTAGTTAACATTTTGAAAGACCATTCTTATTGCTCATTTATATCTTGAACTGTTTTAATTGTTCACAATGAGCATGCAGGGAGGAAAATATTGAATTTTTTTATTTTGAAAAAGAATTAATGACAGATAGCATTAAATAGAATTATGAGTAATTTTTATTTCTTATTTATATATTAATATGCATTACAAGATTCTACCAAAAATGTTATACTTTTATACTCTTTCCAAATTTTCCAAAAATGAACATCTTAAAAGTACATGAGCTGAGGCATTTACCTTACTTATTAAAGCCCTTTGAAAGAAAAACAGACAAAATAGTCTGTTGAAGAAAAATACATACTCTCGTGTCAAATCTTAAGTTTACTTCCTTCCATTATTTACCTGTGGACATGGGATACAACCTACTTGGCCTTAATTTTCTGATAACAGTACAAAAAAATTAAATGAGAGAACAGTAATTAGGGTGAAACTTGCATGTCCTCTCTTTCTACAAAGCACTTTCAATTTCAATATTATATCATTCATGAGGTCTCCGAAGGGCCAGTCTCTATGCAAAATGTTGGACATACTCTAGGAAATAAGACAAGAGTTTTCTTCAAGGATTTCTCAGTCTTCAGGGATACAGTCAAAAAATCTGTGGATTTCAGAGAGAGTTCCAGTCCAAAATGGCAACATTGGAGGCTTCTGAACTCACCTCCTCCCGTGGACACACTGAATTGACTGCTACACACAGAGCAGTTCCCTCTGAAAGAAATCCAGAAACAAGCTGAGTGACTCCTACGTCTCAGGTGAACGAGGAATACCCACATCAAATGGGTAGGAAAGGCTGGGGCACAGTTTTACCGTAAACCCCATACCTGGCACAGCGCCATACAATTGGGAGGGAATGCCCAAATCCCAGCTTACCCCTCAGAACTAAAAGGTTTGGACTCCATATCTAGTGCCCCAGCTTTTAAGACTCTGACCCTAGGGACAGGCCCCCAAAACACCCAGCTCTGAAAGCCAGGAGCCTTGGATCCACAGACCCAAAATACTATAGCAAACAAAGAAGTTCTTAATAGTTTACAAGAGCGCATTGTGGTTAATCCCTCCAGGCTCAGCTCAGAGGGAACAGACGGAAACACCCATCTCCTGTCTGTTCCTGAAAGAAGGCTATTTGCATACTTCCAAAGCTGCTGACTGAGGGTCAGACTTCTAACTGGCACACATCTAGGGGATGACTTCAGTCCTCCACCGAGGCTTAGGGAGGCCGTGGGCACTGTC